CATGCACCCGGAACCTTTGTGGTGGTGAGAGATATCTGAGGTGTTCTCAGTGACAGAAACAATAAGACAGGAGAGCAAGCTATTCTATCTTTAAAGCAAGAGGAAAAGTTACAGTAAAAGTGCTCTGAATTCTTACTGATTGGTCTGAGATATTAATTTTGCAAAAATAAGTTGTCTTTATGAATTGCATGGCAATCAAAACAGATCAGACAGCTCATGTCACCTCAGCTGTCTGATGTGTTTTCATGTGTTCTTCAGTCACTTCTGACTGAAGAAATTTAAGAACTGAATCGATTAAAAACAAATCTAATTAATAAAAAATCAAATTTACCTGCTGATCTCATTCTAATCTACTGCAATTACCTCGATGGATTTCCAAAACTCAGCTCCATTTCCTTCTAGTTGTAATCAAAGATTAAAATCCAGCATTGGTTTTATCCCGGACTGCACAAACAATAAACGGAAAACAACAATTGCTCTGATATACCAAAATAACTCTTTAGATATGAAATTTCCTCTCACGTGCTCATTTAACCGATTTTAGATGCAGAACTGACCCAAAATATCAGAAAATGGGTCAGTCAATAATCCTGTTTCATCTAAAGAGAATATAGTGTGTGCAGGAAGTGTCAGTCTCCAAATGTTCAGATGAATAGGTATAAAAATAAAGCCTCCAAGCTTGTGTAGATATGCTTCTTGCATATAGACATCTTTCACCTGATGTTTTCCTCCCTGAAGAGCTTGCAGTTAGAAATGCTCATTTTAGATTTCATGGAAGCTATTTCAAGCAATGTGCGCAACCCAAAAGTAGGCTGGTGGTGTTGTGACTTGATTGAGAGAATATCATTGAATTAATGCTCTGTTCATGGTGTGTTGCTGTTCTGGCAGATTACTTGAAAGCATTTTCATTGTTGGGTGAAGATTAATACATGCTTCTGTTTGCTTGTATGTTTGTGTTTCAGGTTTTTTCTCCAACATTTACAGGTATAAGAGAAAAGGTCCGAAAAGCATTTCGTGCGTGTCCTAATAATTTTGATAGGGGCTGTTATTTTTGTCATCCCTGCCTAATTTTTAATCTGAACAACATAAAAACATTTTTTAAAATCCCTCCAGCAGAACAGCATGGAGCAATCAGTGGTTTGGAGTTTGGAGTTTGGAGTGGGCTGGTGTGTAAATCCAGGCCCTTATACTGATCCTGTATCTGTCCTTTGAGAGCCAAATGAA